ACCGGTTCTCTAGTGATCACACAGGAGCTCACTGATAAATCTCATGAAACTGAAGAACAGACATCTGCCACTTAGCAGGGACATTTTACTCTTTTTTGCCCTTTCTTCAATAACATGCAAACCCTTTCTAACAAACCTTAATAAGGAGTAGTGATCTCATAGTTATCCTTGATCCTTACTTGTAAGTGATAGATGCAACAGGAAACAAGAATATTAATTTCACAGTTAATTCCGTGGTTTTGAGTTCATTTTCTCTTGTATTGTTTTTAAAGGGCATTTGTTTATTACTTTAATTGCTCCTAAAATAAATCTTGTTGGATTAATTTAAGTGTAAAGTTTTTGTAAGTTATTAAAAAGCACCGGAAGGCTGCATGCTACTAGGTGACACAGCCTGCTACATGGTGGGCATTCATCAAAACTGAAGAAAGCAACCAAAAGCTGCAGTTGTTATAATATTTTAGTTATCTGTTCACAGCCTTCCATTTTCTCTTCTGTTTTCTGTGATGAATGTGCAAACTGAACTAAAGAGTTCAACAGGGGTACAACAGGTGAGGAAGTGGAAAGTGTGAAAATATTTTATTTCATCATTTGTTCACCCATACCAAACCTCCTTGCAGCTGGTGCTTTCTATTTAGAAGTTCAGCTATCCGGTTTTCATTGACAATACAGAGATCCTGTGAGCAGTTTTGTTTTTGTTGTTTGTGAAGGTCAAGTGTTTGAAAGCATTAGTTGCACAGAACATTACGCTCACTGGTTGTGTAAAAATGTAGGTTGTTCAATCTGAATTTGAGACTCTTCTGATTCTTTTAAATTTTACCAATTACTAGTTTTGCAAAACTTGCAGCAATTGGGTCATTTTGTATAGTATCACCCACCTATATAATCTATCAGTACACTTCTATAGGGTATGTAATATTCTGTTTCTGTTGTGATAAGATTAATCTATTAATCATTACAAAGAAGATTGTTTAACTTACTTCAAGGTAAAGATTATTGTAACTAGAGTAAAATAATTGTTGAATTATAATTATTGTATATCTAGGAAAGAATTACTGAAAGCAATAATTTTTTTGTTATGGCTAGTAGCAACATTCTCAAATCATTTTGGTTAATTTCTCGATCTGAAATATGTGGAATTATAATTATCCATATGACAAATTAAAGATTTTAAAGCTCAGAGAATACAATTTATAAGTAATTAATTTGTTAGCAAATTGTTAAATGGTTTTTCGCAGGTTATCATAAATAGAGCAATATTCCCTTAATGAACTAATGTCAAAGAAATTAAAAACCAAAAAAGCCAATCATTATTGACAAAAAACTTGTTAAGTTTTAATAAAATTAAGTTGACAAAATACTATCTTGTGGTGTGCTCTGAGATAGATGCATAGAACTTAAGAAAGTTTGCAAGTTTGTTTAATTTGAAGTTTTATTTTTTTTATCCTGGAATAATTGAGTGTATTATTTAGCTGATAAATATTCAAATCTATGACGTTATTTCATTTGCAATTGCTTCGATCTTATTTGCGTGCAAAATAAATAAATATTGAGCTTAAGTACACAACTTTTAAGTTGTGTACTCTTCTTGGTATCTGTTTTCACAAAAAATTGGAATGCAAACTTACCATAAGGCCCTATTGTTATTCTTCTAGACTTCAATTTTTTATCCTCCATTTCTTTTGACTTTAAACTCTTTCTCCAGCTTACACGCAGTTATTACGGCTTTGGCTTAATTTCGGTTTGTTGGTTCATGTTGTGCCACCAGGAGGATTTCTTTCAGTTAAAGAGTTCATAGAAAGCATGGCTGACAGTTATTTGGGAATCTGTTTTTTAAAATTTTCTGTTTAAATGAGGGCCGTCACGTTGAAAAACATTTGCAACTGCTGCTTTCTCTCCGAGAACTGTTCTTCTTTCCGAACTTGAAAATACAATCCCCGAGAATCTCCGAGTGCTTTCGGCAATCCCAGGTTTCTCGGGTGATTTCAACCTCGCTTCCAGAGCTTCCAGGGTCCCCTTCGGGAAGAGTAGGAGCGGAACTTGGGAACAAGGTTAGGGTGCTTTCCGTTTCCTAATCAACTTGCTTGGACTGTGGACTTCTGACTGGACCATCCACGCAAGAGAGGGCCGCACGATTTGAATTTTCAAGTCCCAACAAAAACTGAGGAAATGCAAGAGTAACCCCTAACCCGAACGCGAATATATATATCCAGTTTGTCAAATCTTGAAATTTCAATAGTTGACGTGGTGGTAACTCACCTGTTATTAACTCGCTTTCAGCTGACATAACTCTCGTTAAATAGCTCTCCATATTAGAGGACCGCTATGACGTCATCCAAATTAACTTTTTAACGTAATTCCTGAATGGGATTTTTTTCTGCTGAAGTGGAAATGTCTTTGAGTATTAAAGAACATGAAAGAAAGAAGGCTTATTTGCTGTTTTTGTTTTTCGCCATGTGTAAATTTGGTGACTTATGGAATGATGATCCAGGATCATTAAAGAACTGGCTATGAATAACGTAAGGGGAAATGTTCCTGTATAGGGAGGGGAAGAATTAGACAAGTTCGCATCTCCCTAGTTCAAGTATCCACCCCCAGCATCCCATTCTATTGTTGCATTCTATTTCCCACAACACTTCGACAAATATACATTCAGTATTGATTTTATTGATCTAACGAAAGAATTTTGGCCATTCATAGACGCGAGAATGTAATGAATTCATTAAATCATGACTTTTGTGACGTAGAATAAAGGAAGGGAAGATGTCTCTAGAAAGCTCAGTCGAGGAAGGGTTAAAAAAAAAGGTATCGTAGCTTGAAAACTTTTACCTTGTATCATTAACTGTTAATACCGTAACGGAATTTTCATCATCCTTGCAGTTAAATTGCAGCGTTCTTTCTGTAGCGAGCATAAAATCACCTTAACAAAGTTGCTCGCGCTTTGAGGAAACATGCGCGCTTTCTTCATTGGCACGCGCAAATGACAAGTGCAAACAGGCCACGTAGACTGACACGGTTCTTCTTGAGCTGTAAGTCAGCTGCAAGTGAGTTATCGAGAATGACCAATCTGAATTTCACAATCCTTTCCAGCACAGAGATATTAGCATGATGAAGATATGAAAGAAGCTTCGTTGTTGACGCTATTTCTGATTGGTTTACTCAGTATCGCCGTAACCGCCGTGGAAGGTAGGGATTGTTTAACAGCACTCATATTTAAAAATATGAGAGCTCTCTATAAAAAAAATGCTCAACCATTCTGCGTTCCTTTTTTAGTATCAAACTTGTTTAACCATCCCATGAGAACTGTCGATACCAGTTTACACAATGCGAGAATCATGGGTCAAAACACATTTAGTCTAAAAAGGACTTTAAACGGCTCTCTGCTTGTACGAGTGTGTTCATGCGCAAAATGACGAGTTTACTCACTTGGAATAACTGACGTATAAAGAAAAAATATGCAAAATAGTTTGAAAAATATTTTTAAAACTGTACGAGCGACGTCTTAGAGAGTCAACACAGCCAGGAATGAAACAGAGAAGGGAGTGTAAAATGACTAAAAGGGTTTATAGAAAAACGTGTGACCAGATACTTTATGCGCTGCTGTCCCAAATCTCGTTTGACTTACTAATTTTAAAAAAAAGTTCTTCCGACTGTTCTTCCGTGCAGTATGTTTATCAGCTACAAGAGTCATAATAGGATCTCTTGCCATGCAGCTATCATTTATGAATGGTCCTTTTGATTTCTGTTTCTTTGATCTGCGCACTTTGCATCTCCTTGCAGTGTTATTGCGGGATGACCCTCTCGAGTTTACGGTGATGTTACACGGGACGATTCGCAACGACGATTTTTAGCGCGACATAGCGTTGCATTCGAAGCAATGTTGCAACGATATTGCAACGCTGTGTTGCGCTAAAAATCGTCGTTGCAAATCGTCTCGTGTATAACATAACCTTTAGGGACTAACCAGCCTCGTGTAAATGCGTTTAGGAATACTAGTGATTCAGTTTAAGAGTTTTCTGCAGGCTCTTCATTTGATAAATCACCCAGAAACATCACTTGTCATCCAAGAGGACAAGATAGCCAGTGTGGATATAAAAAGAAATGCCAAAAGATAGGAGACACTTATCATTGCACTTGTGTAAAAGGATTTCAGGCTATTGAAGGTGCTTGTAAAGGTAATTTTCAGACAACTAATTTTGATGCAAGAAGGTGATTTCTATAGTAACTTATGAAAAGAACAAAGACAGACAAATTGTTTGAAAGCCGATTAGGGCTTAACGCGGGGTTAAATTTAACCCAGGATTCTTTTTCTCGTGTTCAAAAGCATTTTCTCGGATAATTTTCTCTGCTATTTTTAGAGCTTCCAATCATCAACTTGTAGACAGACAGAATTAAAACTGAGACGCTTTTTAAACTTTCAAATCTGAATTCAAATTTGGCACTAACCCTGGGTTATCTTAATCCAGCTTTGAACAACTCGGCCCTGGTGGTTTCTTGAGGTCTCCTCGCTAAAAGATGTTGCTGTAAACTTACATTGTATTTAAGGCAAATAAATCATGATGATGAAATGACGATGAACTTGTACAAATAGTCGGAAACTGCGAACTATAATCTACGTCAATGTAAAAAATATAACAAGGAAACTTTGAACGGAATGCCAAGCCGATCGGAGACATCAGGCATAGCCGCTAGAGTTCCTACGAGCCGTTTGCTTTGTCCAATCAAAATGTTTGACAATGCCAAGAATTAGTATTTCAAACTGTTCAACCAGCGTCGCGTTTCGTTTCGGTGCAAAGATATTTGTATTGGAATGAAAACGAAATGCTTCTTTCTATCCGGTGTCTTTTTCAGATGTGGATGAATGTAGGCAAAAGCATTTCAGACAGCAGTGTAAGAGAAAAGGAGCTATATGTCAGAACAGCCACGGATCATACAAATGCCAATGTAAACAAGGATTTCACATGGACCTACACAAGCAACACTGTGTTGGTAAGCGGATGTTTCGTTGGTAACAGGCTCACTTAGCGCGGAGGCACAAGCGCACAGACCAGCAAGCAACCTAGCGAACGCAGCGAGAAGGCGAAACTACCTGATCTTCCTTGATTACGCAGTGTGGACATGCACAAAAACGTTCCCTGGATCTAAATAAGTTTAGGTCACTATATGGTACAGGAGTGGAACTAAAAACATCACACCGACTTAGAGTCTCGTTCTTTAATATTACAGCTCGGATGGTCCTCCACTCCCTTTCCATGTTCCACTTGCCAGTTTTTCCCCAAACTTACATTACGTAACAGTTCATGAATCCCTTCATTAATCTCGTACCCAGATCTCTTCGAATACGTCGTCAAGAGATCTGGGTACCAGATCGCGAGGAACGACACGCTACTTCAGAACGAACTGCAACTTTTTAACTGCAACTATTTTGTTCTACCCTGTCAGTCTATCCGCCTTCTTTTAAACGTGACTAAGTGTTGATTGAAGGAAGGTAAGTCGAAATTCTAAATCTGTGCTTTGAAACTTTTTAGATGACGATGAATGTGAGAAAATGGAGTTGTGTCATGAGAAAGCAATTTGTGAAAACAATGTGGGGTCCTTCCGTTGCTCATGCGCAGTAGGATTTGCAGGGGATGGAGTTGAGTGCGTACTAGACAAAGTCTACGAACAGAAACAGAAGATCAAGCTGACCATCATGATCGGGGGCGCATGTGGCGGGGGCATCTTGCTTATCATCGCTTTAGTAGCGTTCTGTTGCTGCGCACGCAAGAGGAAGAAGGAAAAAGACAAAAAACATGGAAACAAAATTGAAAAAATAGAATCTACTCTCTCTGAATATGGACAGGATTGGGAGAGTTCTGACAGCTCTGAAGACGACGAATAAACTTGAATTACACCGGATCAGAATTTGAAATTTTTTTACTCCCCGCAAAATAAAAAAAGGTTTCACTCAAATTAGAGTCCAATGTGCTGAAAATATTTTACAAAGTCATGCATGATCGGTTTAAACATGCCAGATGGAAATTTACCGCTACAAAGGTGCCTTTTTAAGATTCAGTAATTAAATTCAATTACCAAAACCAAACTCCGTATTATCAACTATGGAGGTTAGGAGAAGTTAGAACTTAAACTACGGTTGTGACGAATATTTCCCGCTTTTTTCCCAAGCCTTAACTATGTCAGTTCTATTTACGAAAATAGTCAGTACTGTAAACAAGTAAGAAGAATTTGTTTTGTATACGTTGCTTTTAACAATGGACACATGTACAATACACAGGCACATTAAGTCCCCGAAGTCTGAAAGAATGCATGATATTTGTGTCATATCAAACCATTTAATAACTCTGTTATTTTCTTATCGGTTTTGTATGGCATGAAGGGAAAGTTGTGATAAATGGTTAAATTTGAATGGATGTGTAATATAACATCTTTGACCATATTCAGGTCTGAAAGTGGTTAAAGAGTTAATCAAGGATCGATACTGTCTACCTCCAGTAAACCGAGTATCTGCTTTGCAACCTGTCTTCGGCTTTTGAACCCTAACCCTAACCTTAGGGAGTTTTTAGTGGGGTAAATCACACCACACTTAATACAAAGTATTAAACTCACGACGAATTTCAAGACAAACATGTTTAATAGCCTTTCGTATGTGGTATCTACCTGTTAAGTACTTCTGGTCGTATATAAACAGGAAGATAAAGATAACCAGTTTCACAAGCAGACCATCCTGTTTTCTGAACACACAGGAACTTTATGAAATAACATCCTGTTTACGGAAATTAGGCTACTGAATTTCTGACCAATGGCATCATTTCGGGAATTTGGAAGGAATACTTTACGAACAATGAACTTCTTTTCAAAACAAAATCAAAGTGCTTCGTCATCTCAATTGTATTCATGTTCCGTGCGGCTGGAACATGAAAGATTACGAAAACATCACCGCTTTAAGTAGAACATTTTGTAAAGATTAAAATCAGTTTAAACAAAAACAAACAAACAAACAAACATACTAACTAAACTACCGTTCCTCGATATACTATTAACGTCACTTGTTGCTTGAATTAAAAAAGGAACAAGCTTTTAAATTTTTCTAAATTGCTGTTTTGACGGAAACAATTTCAAGAGGTCCTTAAAAGATATGATTAAGAAATGTGCATTCTTTATGCCGAACAAACCAACTGTATAGAAATTTGCGGAAAGCCAGCAAAGCGTAAATGAAAACTGGTATAAATTGGGTTGTATGAAGCCATAAAGCTCGGCAATCCGTCGACTTCAGTTCAAGACATACCTGAACGTATTTCTCAAACAGCAAGGTAAGCTGAACAGAAGTCTCCATCTACTTACTAATGCCTTAGAACTCCTCTAATTGAAATTCCCACCGCTAAACACGAGCGGTTTAACTTGGTGAGGGTTCGAGTTAGCGGGTTAAAGTTTAGAGGAGTTTGAGTCACAGGTAAAGTTAAATTAGTTCGAGTTAGCGTGCTCTACTTTAAATAAATCAGCGATCATTTTGCCCTGAAACAGTTTTGGTCATTTCATTCCTTTAAGTCATATTTTAACATCATGACCAGCCCAACGCACCTGGCTCCTGTCTTTTTTGTAGTTCTTGAGAATTTTTAGAAATATTTTGCGTTATTATATCTTGAATCATTTTTTTCCATTTTCTTCCTTACTTAAAGAAGACAAAGATGGCCGCAGCAAATCCTAACACACGCCGAGCTTGGGATGATTTCTACTTTTTTCAACCCGGGAGGAGGATGTATGATCGTTTGCTAGACTGGGTTAGAACCATGCTTCAAGCTGAGCTAGCTAACGGCAGGTTACAAAACCAGCAAGTCAGGGGTGATGTGATCTTTAATCAGTTCGCCGTGGGACAGATTGGTGCTCAGCAGGTTCGCACAGTACCAATAGGATCACCTCAAATACACTGCGAGGAACAACTTATTAGAATGATTCGACAGCAACAAGATGAGTTTATTATCTACACCGAGAATTTCACCTGTCAGATGAGAGAGGGCACCGAGAGACGCTGTAACTGTTTTTTTCAGGTATGTCCGAACTACATGACGTTTTGACCCAATGACCAAATTTCTTCATTCTGTTAGATCACAGTGAGTGGCCAGACCATACTTATTTCACTTACAAATTGTTTAAGTACGCAAAAACAACCAGTATTTTGAATTAGTTTAACGTCTATTATTTACGCAAAAATGTGCAAGGTTTATTAATTGACCGCAACAGAAAATGCCATAACATACCATAATACTCTTTGTTGGTCACTCCAAAATTTTGCATAAGCATTGTTTTCAGTTTGTCTTATGCAAAATTTTGGAGTGACCAACAAAGAGTATCATGGTATGTTATGGTATTTTCTGTAGTGGTCAATAGTTATTTGCTTGATTTGGTTGAGAGATTTCGAAAACGCACGAGCCGGCTGTAAAGTGATTTTAATGACACCAAGATCTAATTTTTGTTAGTACTATCTTTTGTTAATACAGTGAAACCCCGCCTTACGGCCACTAATACGGTCACCTCGTTATTATGGCCACTTTTTTTTGGCCGCCTGGCAAAACGGCCATACATTTTCTTGTAAAAAGACCCTATTTAATACGGTCACCCCGTTACAGATACGGCCAATTTTTTTCGGCCCATTGGTGACCGTATTGACGGGTTCCACTGTACGAAGTGGTTGCAGTGGTCAAACAAAGGATACATTCCGTTGGCCTTAATTGACTTTTACTTCGCCAAATAAACTCTTTTCGAGAAAAAAAAAGGTTAACTTAGACGCTAATTAGTTCCTCTTGTAAACTCGTTATCAACTTTGAGTAATGTATTGAAAAGGCGGGACTGACTTACCAACAGAACATTCTTTGTAGTTTTTCATCTCTCAGATTACTTTGGACACTAACTGGACTTATGTGAGTTTTGGAGTTAAAGCTGATTTTCTGATTACGCCACAATCTCAAGGAAAAATATGATAATATTCCTTACAACCAATCGGGTTTCTACTGATGTAAGATTAAACTTCAAATGATTAAGATTGACAGCAGTCATGAACAGTGAAGATAAAAGAAGCTGTAACAGGCTTCTGTCAGAACAGAGATAGAACAAGTTAGTGTAACTGAAAACTGAAAACTTTATTTATACTCGAGGGTCTGGAGCTTATTAGGCTCCTAGCTTAAATAGCTAATGAGTCGAGGTTAAAAGCAAACAAAAAGAAATGAATTGAATTTAAACTATTTACATCATGATACGATATTGTTTACAGATAATGATTCTAAAAGGTACAATATTGACGATAGTCTAAAATATAAACAGGAAGATAAAGATAACCAGTTTCACAAGCAGACCATCCTGTTTTCTGAACACACAGGAACTTTATGAAATAACATCCTGTTTACGGAAATTAGGCTACTGAATTTCTGACCAATGGCATCATCTCGGGAATTTGGAAGGAATACTTTACGAACAATAAACTTCCTTTCAAAACAAAATCAAAGTGCTTCGTCATCTCAATTGTATTCATGTTCCGTGCGGTTGGAACATGAAAGATTACGATAATGTCAACGCTTTAAGTACAACATTTTGTAAACATTAAAATCAGTTTGAACAAAAACAAACAAACAAACAAACAAACATACTAACTAAACTACCGTTCCTCGATATAGTAACGTCACTTGTTGCTTGAATTTAAAAAGGGAACAAGCTTTTAAATTTTCTAAATTGCTGTTTTGACGGAAACAATTTCTCGAAATTTCAAGAGGTCCTTAAAAGAGACGATTAAGAAATGTGCATTCTTTATACCGAACAAACCAACTGTATAGAAATTTGCGGAAACCCAGCAAAGCGTAACTGAAAACTGGTATAAATTGCCTTGTATGAAGCTATAGAACTTGGAAATCCGTCGACTTTCAAGACATAGCTGAACGTATTTCTCCAGCAGCAAGGTAAGCTGGACATAAGTCTCCATCTAGTTACTAATGCCTTAGAACTCCTCTAATTGAAATTCCCACCGCTAAACAGGAGCCGTTTAACTTGGTGAAGGTTCGAGTCAGCGGGTTAAAGTTTACAGAAGTTTGAGTCAGAGGTAAAGTTAAATTAGTTCGAGTTAGCGTGCTCTACTTTAAATAAATCCGCGATCATTTTGCCCTGAAACAGTTTTGGTCATTTCATTCTTTGAGTTATATTTTAACATCATGACCAGTCCAATACACCTGGCTCCCGTCTTTTTTGTAGTTCTTGAGAATTTTTAGAAATATTTTGCGTTATAATATCTTAAATCATTTTTTTCCATTTTCTTCCTTACTTAAAGAAGACAAAGATGGCCGCAACAGATCCTAACACACGCCGAGCTTGGGATGATTTCTACTATTTTCAACCCGGACCCGGGCAGACGCCCGGGGAGACGATGTATCGCGATTTGCGACGCTGGGTTGAAACCATGCTTCAAGCTGAGCTAAATAACGGCGGGTTACAAACCCGGCGAGCCGGGGGTGATGTGATCGTTAATCAGTTCGCTGTGGGAAAGATTGGATCTCAGGATATTCGCACAGTACCAAGACCGGGACGAAGAGGAACAGGTCAAAGGCACTGCGAGGAACAACTTATTGAAATGATTCGAGAGCAACAAGATCAGTTCCAAATCTACACCGAGAACTTCACCTGTCAGATGAGAGAGGACACCGAGAGACGCTGTAACTGTTTTTCTCAGGTATGTCCGAACTACATGGCGCTTTGACCCAATGACCAAATTTCTTCATTTTTTTAGATCACAGTGAGTGGCCACATTATACTTATGATTTCATTTGCAAATTGTTTAAGTACGCAAAAACAACCAGTATTTTGAATTATTTGCGAATTGGTCAAACAAAAGATACATTCCGTTGGCCTTAATTGACTTTTACTTCACCAAATAAACGCTTTTCCAGAAAAATAAAGTTTCACTTAGACGCTAATTAGTTTCTCTTGTAAACTCGTTATAAACTTTGAGTAATGTATTGAAAAGGCGGGACTGACTTAGCAACAGAACATTCTTTGTAGTTTTTCATCTTTCTGATTACTTTGGACACTAACTGGACTTATGTGACTTTTGGAGTTAAAGCTGATTTTCTGATTACGCCACAATCTCGAAGGAAAATATGATAATATTCCTTACAACCAATCGGGTTTCTACTGATGTAAGACTAAACTTCAAATGATTAAGATTGACAGCCGTCATGGGCAGTGAGGATAAAAGGAGCTGTAAGAGGCTTTTGTCAGAACAGAGATAGAACAAGTTAGTGTAAGATTAAGTTGTCTTATAATGATGAAGTTTAGAGGATACAAAGTTTGCTAAACCAACTCAGGACAAGTGTTTTCTTTGTGTTAATGACCTTAGCGCTAGTCCCTGTCGGAGTCGTGCGATTATGCAGTGGCATTTTTGCTTTTGTAGTTCTCAAATTCTGAAGGATGGCCGGATAGCCTTGTCTTCATTCATTAGATTATGTCCTTATTGCTCCTCTTATCCACTAGATAACGCTTTATCTGGTGAATAGCCTTAACTAACTTTTAAACAACCGGGGCCTTATCCTCTTGACTTTGTAGGTCATTCAGTTGGCTCGTCGTTACCCAGAAAGCTTAGTGATCATCATGTACCATCAGGCATACGACTATCGTAACACAGCCAACAGGGGCGCCGGACGCCAGGGACGATGGGAAGAAATTGACCTGCAGAATATGAATATCCTTCTTGGAAATAGTCTTGAAGGACCATTGCCACAAAATCTGGTTTTCATTAAGGTGGACTGGATCATTCAGGGCAACCAAGTGCAAGTTCGTGGTATGCAGATCGCCGGAATAAATCGCCCACGCAACCCAGTCGTGTTTCCAGACCACGCAGCTGGAGGCCACTAAGGAAACCATTGGAAGGTCTCCAAATGCAAAAAAGTGGCATTTTCCCGATGTTTTTGACTTTATATTCTTTTTGTATTTCCTTTTCATACACTGTTTAGCGTCATGAAAACTTCAAAAAGAACTACTGTTTAGTGCACATGATTGCAAATAGTAGTAAACAGTTATTTCACTACCTGCTGTCTATTCGTTCTGTTCTGCGGTTCCCCCGCCAAAAGTTTTCCCGAACTCGCACAAGTGAACCTGTTCGCAGGATATAGGAATNCTTTATATTCTTTTTGTATTTCCTTTTCATACACTGTTTAGCGTCATGAAAACTTCAAAAAGAACTACTGTTTAGTGCACATGATTGCAAATAGTAGTAAACAGTTATTTCACTACCTGCTGTCTATTCGTTCTGTTCTGCGGTTCCCCCGCCAAAAGTTTTCCCGAACTCGCACAAGTGAACCTGTTCGCAGGATATAGGAATCTCTTAGTAGAGAATTCTACTAGGAGAATAATAATAATAAATAATAATAATAATTCCATTATTTACCCTCGGCAGTATTTATAGCACTAATGCTAGTGGGGCCAAGCAAATACCTGAAACAAATGATTCAAATTGAACTTAACAGGGTTAAGAATCCCAACTGACCGGACGCAAACCAGTTGGCTATTTACAACTGTGGTCGAGGATTTGAACTCGGGACTACCATGAACAAATCCAGTTAGCGGTCAGGGAGGGACTTGAACTCGGGGACTCCGAATTACAAGTCCGGCGCTCTAACCAGTTAGCAAAGCTGCCTCCCGTTAAAATCAAAACACAAAACAAAACAAAAATAATTAAAGTTCGGAAGTTATACCAAAATGAGAACCGAAACAAACACTGCCAAACAAATCTGTTTAAGAGTTTTATTAGACAAGTACATTGTATTATACTAGCTTATATAGTTATACCCAACTAAAGCACTACTTATTCTGTTTTGGCCAAAGTCTGGAATATTTCCATTAATAAAAACATCACTGGCAATCCTGTTACAAAAATGTGCTAGTACTGCCTCATATGCTCCCAACCCGTTTTTCTCACAATACACGGACTAAAGTGTGCAGTAGTTTCAACTATCAATCAAGTTATGTAAGTAGTCTATAGGCCTGCCCCTATTAATGCAGTGTCATGGTGGCCAATATGGGATTATTAATGGGCCAACAATGGAGCCTGCCTGCCTCTATAAGGTATCAACTCTGTTTTCATAGAGTACGACCGCTCTGCTCCACGAATTGTGTTTGTTCAGATGCAAAGAGAACTGCTGCTTGAATGCAAGAAAAGGCCATATCAAAAAGGCTTCCAAAAGGAGATCTTTCTACAAAAACAAACCTAACTTGATCTTATGATGACTATATCTCCTCATATTTCCTCTCCTACCTTGACTGACATGAAAGTTTACTTTGATTACAAAATAATGAATGTTACAGCCCTTCAAGACCCATCTGTCATCTGATAAACATTCAAGTTCTTTTTGATGCTTGTAATGCATACTGAAGAACTTCCCCTAGAAAAATTTGCTTCTTAATCAGGATGTTTTTTCCTTCAGATTTTTAGAGCATTCATTTTTCTATTTGAATTTGTTACAAAATGGTTAAGGGGATAGAGAGAATTCACCGCTAAAGATACAACTAACTTAAATGAAAAAATGAGCCAATTTACAAAGTACAGTACAGGCAAGATTAACAATAATATTATCACACTCTTGAAGCGTGGAGAAAGGATGAAATAACCTAACCTATCAGTTATAGTGCTCATAGCTTAACATTACCTTGTGTTATCTAACTGTAAACAATTCAACGGAATTTTAGGAATAAAAGGCTGTAAAATGGTATCACTTGAAAGTAGAAATGATTCTTTTAAATCAAAATTTTACAGTTTTTAGCTGTAAGTTTTAAAGCACACCATCCGAAAAAACAAAACATTCGTCCATAAATGTTATGATATAAAACACATTATGGCAAAAGCTTAATATGCAAGTCTACTGTAATTCTGAATGGATTGGTCACAAAATAATGCTATTTTCCATTGTAAAATTAACCACTTTTAAAATGCTTTTGCCTTAACATATTTCATAATCAACTAATTGTTGACCACAAGCAATCACAGTCCACAAAGGGGACACAAATATTGAGTACAGAATCGAAGTGAAGCCTAGATTGGGCTACTTAGAGTTTGTGTATCTTGCTTGTATGATCTTGCCCATATTTTAGTTGTACATTGTTGATTTACAGACTGATGATTTGAATCAAAGTAGACAGACAGTGGAGAGAATTTATTTACAGCAGCCTCCTTGGTGGGACTCATTAGTCTCCCTGAGATCGACTCCTCTTTGCTGTCGCCCGCCACCTACAGGACCAGTAGCTGTGGTATCGCTCTTCGGTAGTTTCTTTGCTGTGATTTTAAAGCAAGAAAGTATATATAAGGGTTTTCGAAAATCAAAGTTTCTGGAAATGCCCAAACTAAAATTGGTAAAAAATGCACAAAAACCAAATACAATATTATAAAACTTTCAAAGCTAGATGTCCACATTACAGACGAGTCCTGCATCCTTTTTCTATGGGTCAATACTGTGTAAAGTTTGGAAACTTTTGGATGTAATAAAGAGCTCTCTATGACGAGAATTTCAACTGTAGAAGTAGTTGAAAGTATTGTCAAGGCCTAGCTAAATTAAGATATATGACTTGTCTTAGGGTGTGTCTATGAACCAATGTGGCAGTTAAGAAATCTAGAGGAAATTTACTACAAAAAGAATTGACAGTCTCACCTATTGCCAAAAATATATCATTCACATTCATAGCGGTTTTTGCTGATGTCTCCATGAACAAAAGACCATTGTCCTCAGCATACGATTGAGCATCCTAAACAAATAATAAAGCATATGAACATTGTGTACTAACATAAAAATTTATGGATTTCACTCTTTCACTCTTTAACATCAACTCAATGCAAACCAGTCATTACCTCATATTCAACCATTCTCTTGCTTGACAAGTCAGCTTTATTCCCTGCAAGTGCTATCACAATATTTGGACTGGCTTGTCTCTGAAGTTCTTTAACCCAATTCTTTGCTCTTCCAAAGGTATCCTGGTTTGTGATGTCATACACTACAATAGCAGCTTGGGCCCCCCTGTAGTACATTGGAGCTAAACTGTGATATCTTTCTTGGCCTGCCGTGTCCCATATTTCAAACTTAACTGTTGTATCATCCAAGCACACTGTCTGTGTTAAAAAGGCAGCTGAAGACGGGAAAAACAGACAATTGAAAAATAACAGTGACTCAATGGTTCTTTGTCAATGATTAGGACACCAATAAGTAAAAAAGCTTTTACAAGTCTTAAGATTTTTTTCATCTTAGTTTTCAAGTTGTTCTTTACAAGTATCAGGTCAATCTTTTTATCAGTTAATGTATCATATAAAGTAACACAAACTGTGTTACACAAGTTACTACTTTACTGGTTAGAATGCATGGTGATAAAAATGCAGTTTTACTGCTATGCTGATGCAGTTAGCAGTAGGGAAAAAGGGTAAACCAAGAGTATCACTTAAATTAAAATATCTCACCTCCAATTGTGCTTTCCTGGTATTCATGGAACTGGCCCTTTACAAATCTAAGAACCAAGCTTGACTTCCCAACAGCTGACTCACCTGAATTTTTCACAATAAAAAAAAACATTGCAAATAAATGTAAAGAAGATACAGTTCTGGCCACAACTTATGCAGTTGCAAAAAGAAAGCCTGACCTCTGTGATACTGGTGCAACACTCTAATAAACTGAGCTAGCAAGCCAACTGGGAATGACAGGCTCTCATTATTGGCTTCCTACCACATTTTGTTAGACCGCTGCACCTGTATTGGGATAGTGCACAGCTCCTAGAAACCTCTAAATTCATTGGTTCGCCAAAAAACGCAGCTCCATTGTTGAGCTATTTTTTTATATGTCAGTGGTGTGAGCGTATGCATCTTTGTGGCTTTGTATCTTTGTAACTTTGTATGTTCAAATGTTTGATGCAAGAGCCAATAAGGTTGAAGGTACTATGAGTTGATGCTTAGGAACCAATGAGATCTTGGCATCTACTTAAACATGACATTGCTTAAGGTCGAACAAAGGCCCTTTGAGACTGCCATCTTGATTCTTGACCATTTTTCGTCTTTTATTACGGCTACAGGTGTTTGGAAACATTATATTAAATGTCTTCATGATTCAAACGCTGTGTACAGTGATGCAGCTTTTTAAGGGTTCATATTTTAGTGTGGATACTATTTCAAGACATTTCTGACTGAATTCGAATCCACTTTCACATGTCAGTTGTGTGACTGTACATCTCATGCAGATTGGCTTTTCACAATAATAATAGTAACTTGAACGTATGAAGACCTGTTTCGTTTTGTAACCAATGCCTTAAAAAGGGCTCTTGTCTTTAAAGAAGCAATAGCTTTTAAAACATGAAGAAATAAGTTGCCGGAGTTAAGGACTGTTTCACTGAGTAGAATCGCACGTAAAAACCTCGTGAATTGCGATGATGCAACCATCTACCACAATGATAAGAATCTTGGTATTTCTTAGCTACTCGAATTCCATGGGTCACATTTTGGCTTAAGAAAATCCGAGGAAACCTTAGAGTTTTCCTTCTAATCAACGTTTGGTGAGTAGATATTTATTTTACTTTAAAAATTTGTTTAACTAGCACCAAATGTAACAGTGAAAGACAGAGGAAAGGGAATATATAGCATGAGAATTGACGCAGCTGAGCGTTTCGCGTTTTCATTTATGCAAGACAATACCCAATTTAGCACAAAACCAAGTCTACATTTAGGACGAAAAAGGCAGATTCATCACTCTTGGTAAGGTTACACTGAAGCATTAAAGTTACACTGAAGCATTCAAAATAGCTCGTGCACGTTTAACGTGCCTATGTTTTTAGGGATAGTCATTGTTATATTTTTATGTCTATCGTCTAAAGAGCTGCATTCCGCCCTCCGGTATCAGTGAGATCAGGGTTTAATTCCCAGCAAGCCTGAATATTTTTCAAGTGTTTTTTAAAACAAGTACACCAAGAACAACGTATCACCTTAGCATAAAAACACTTTTAAAGCTTAATTTACCATGGCACTCACCTAAAAGTACAAGTTTAAACTGACAGATTTTTCCTTGCACAGCTCCATTGGGGCGTTGTGCCGTTCCCCGAGCAGCCATTGAAAAAACTAAATTGTTGAAGAAAATGCCACACCAAAGTCTTAAGATTCCAGTTTCAACTTTTGACTTCTAAACAACACACCTGAAAATGTTTAAAGAAGTTCTTAAGTATTTGACTCCAGAATGTAACAAACGAGGACCTTACAAAGCTCTTAACAGTTACGTATGAAAATTTTTTTAAGTCTATGATTTTAAATCACACCTGTAAAACAATACGTGTACAGGAACATGGTGTTCTATTAGGGTAAAATTTGGACAGGCGACAATGCCTTGAAACAATAACAAAAGACATGATTTGGTGACAAACAGCAGCAGCAGGGATGCACACAAGAGCAAAAATGATAGTAACATGCTGGCAGGGACATGGCTTCCTCTTCAATATGTGACTCTACTAAGAGAGCCTTGGACATATAAGTAATTTGTTTAAGTACATGTAAATGACAGCCTGAATTGAATATCCATTAATAAAATTAACATAACTAATATTTTCCTGATTTAAAAACAAGAACATATTTCAAATCAATAACCAATGACAAAGCAAAAAAAAATAGTAAAGACAAAAATTGACAAAATATGAGTAAAGCATTATTAATTGTCCATATTCTTAACCTTAGGATTAAATTTATAAACTGTATTTGTAATATTTACAGTTATAAACCAAAGCCTACCACAGGCTTCCAAACACAGTTAACAACGTAACATTGATTTAGTAACTTAAAAAATAAAGAAAATACCTATTGCGAGCAAACATTCGTTCTGCTCAGGTACTTATGTAAATTTTTATAACAGAAAACAAAACTATCTATTTGGGCGTACGCTAGAACCATAAAAACAATGATTCGTGAACTATTCTTCTAATTCGATGCAAATACTTTTTTCCAAAAACCTTCGTTGATCAGACAGGGGAAATGTTGGAAAATTCGAACAACAAAATACCTTTCAACTTCGGGCCACACAACACAACATCAAATAAATTTAAGTATCACAAGCTAAACGATAGATAAAACTACATGACACATAAACATCATTAAATTAATGCAAGCAAAATAAAGAGTTGTGTCAGTGAATATTTTGCAATGGGATGCAGGGGTTTTTGAATGAAAACGGACAACATTTTGGCAGGCGGAATACGTAGCGGCAAATTTACGCATGATCAAATGCAAAGACGTCATGCTTCACCAAATAAAACATCCAAAAATCAGTCAAAACGTTTGTGATTTTCTGGTAGATAAAACTCAAAATAAAACCTTTACTTCCCTTGTTTCGGTCCCATGAGTATGGTAAAACGCTCCTACATCACTAGTTTAATTTATGACCCTGTTAGAGCTTAATAACAAGGAAATCTTATAGTCACCGGGTCCGAGAAACATGACAAGAAACAAATATGGCGACGATTTAAACTACGTAATCATAAACTTCCTCCACACACTTTAGCGATGAATAGACCATCAATTGTAATAACTACATTCAAGAAATATAAAAGACTGATACGATGACCTATAAACTAACCTGTAGATGAAATCCTTCGCAGAAAGATTTGTAGAAATACGTGAAAATGGCGGATATAGAGGCAAGGTACAAGTTTCGCTTCAGATCAGAGCAAGTCCAGAAACACCCGCGTGCCTACAAAAGCCCTGACTCAAGTCCAGGCCACCCCACAGTTTGAAACAGACCCCATTACGTCATCTCCCCCTTTTAAGACGCGTGGAGGAAAGAAGAAAAGCAGCCAGCATATTTTACGAAAATCAACAAAGATAAGACAGAAATAGAACGTGGTATTGGCATAAAGAGGAAACATCTGTCCTCTAAATGCATCTATAAGATGCTATAAAATCTGCCTCTCTAGAAACAAGAATATTGTTACCCCATTTACATGGTCATACATTGGATAGATACCAACACCAATCATATTTAGGCATCATACACTCTTACAGGACTTGAAACGGGCAAATTATGTTGCGTAAATTCCCTCAAGTGCTAAGCAGACTCTTGGCGTTTAGTCATACCTCCATACAATGTAAATCTAAACTTTAATATAGTCTAGTAGGACCTAACTGCTCTGACCTAAACTAGAATATGCTAGTTCCGCATGGTATCCATCCTCAGAAAGAAAAGTACCAGCTATGCTTTAATAATTACTCAATACAGCCTGGCGTCGTAAGCAAAATGCTGGAGAAACTAGCATGACCATCTCTTGAAGGTAGACGAAAGCTCTCTCGATTGACTATGTTTCCATTGTGTCGTCAACAGAAATGTTGACATAGTTTCTTCCCATGGTCTATTAGACACTGGAACTAGTTACCCGGTGATATAGTGAATATCAAGGATAATGACATTTTTAAGTCTGTCGTTCGCGAGCATCTTGTTAGTAGGAGAGTGGCTTTAATTTTTATTCTCAAGTATTAATTTCGTTGGGTGGATTTTTCAATTTTATACCATATAATAATGTTATTTATATAATCTATCACAATGTCATTTTTAAGTGAAAGTGATGTGAACCAGTGATTCTGCTTTATAAGTCAAAAAAATCGAGTTTAGGAAAGTTCATACCGCAAAATAACACTAAAACTACTCGTGTTTTTTTTTTTGGATGCCTGAATTCTAAGTGATTCTTATAAGCATTACGAAAAACTATTTCGCTACTAACCAGTGTAGCCGGCATCAAGTAACTGCCAAGATTACGAAAAACGCGTGAAAAATCTAGAAAGTGTTTTCTCGCCCTCCATATTGGTTAAGCAGCAACATTTGTTAACGGGAACTAGATCAATTAGATTAAGAACATGGAAAAATTAATAAAAATAACTATGAAATGAAATATTTATTTGTATACTGTCGAGTCATCTTTGCGTACATGTTGATGTAGATGAGCTGGTTTCGTGAGAACGAATATACAACATGGCACGCAAAATAAAAATTAAAGATTTTTGTCTACGCAAGCCTGGCCAGTGTGTTGTTCTGTTGTCATGGCTGGCATTCCTTTTAGAATCACAAAACGCTTGCTATTTAAAATCGTGTAAATATTTTAATTCATTGCAAAATTAGTACAGCAATTACAAACAATAAAATCTTGCAGATTCTTTTGTTTTAAGATTTGTCCTTCTCCAAGGACAGCCATAGCCAAGGGGAGACAACGGTTATGTGAAAGACTAAAGAAACGTATCCTAAAGATATTTTACAAACAGTAAATTCATTTTGTTTTCTGCAAAATGCAAGTCATTCTCTCTTATCTACTGTTATTTCAAACACTCCATGTACTGATTTGGCATTTTTTTTACAGCTCAGAGCAGTCTTACGCAGCTTGATCTCATAAGCGTTCAATCATTACATTATAAGGGAGATCTTAATTTACACTTCGAGGAAAGAAAAGAAAAAAGTAACTTTTTGTCTGCCCACTGCACTGTGAAAACCAAGACTCGTACCCAGTCGCTATTTATGTGTTTTGGGGTGAGAGAAGATTGGGGGTTAGGTCCCTTCCCATGAGACCCCCAGGGCGCCTCAACCTAACCCCCAATCTTCTCTCACCCCCAAAACACCTAAAAAGAGACTGCGTACGAGTCTGGTGAAAACCCCACAAGAAGCCTTTCTACAAGTTAAATTGCCATGGTTACCATACTAAACAAGGCACCTCTCCATGAGCGCCGCGCGCGTGTAGCTGCCCCTTTTCGCGCCTGCACGCAGACTATGCGCCTGAAGTCGCGTGAATAAATCAAAAGTGAGAATGTTTAGAGCTTTGCATGCTCCTATCGCATAATACAAATTAATTTACAATTTACATAACCCAGATACAAGACACTGATGTGTTAGTAAAACCAGCATATCAAAGTAAAGTAAATATATTGGAGAATTTGAAAAAAATAATAATCTTTTCTCTTTTATTTCTTGCATCCTACTAATTCTGTGTCAAATGTGCAAAAAGAAATATAAATTCTAAACCTTTCATTTCCCAAGCAATCAGGATTTGCGTGAGGTAATACAGGGATATATAGACAATAAGAAGTTCAAAACTGATAAAGGCGTTGCCATAACCGTGTATTATCTTTGACAGTATCAAAAAGTAACGTTATATCGATAAACCTTGTAGGTTTATAGATTTCTCTTGATACTTATGGAAATTGAAATGCATGAGGAACACACTGGTCGATTCATTTATCTCAACCTTCGTAACAGGGAGATAACTGCATTGTACTTTCCCCAATTAGAAGTCAATTATAAAACGTGGATTTTACGTTAACAAGAGAGCAAACAGCACTACTACTGCTCAGCAGCTTTCATCTGAACTGAGATACAAAAACGACTCAGAATCAGAAGTTAAAAACAGACTTCATTCGAATGGTCACTTATTTTTATCCAAAGAATAATAAAAAAATACAGCCAACTCGAGAACCTCAAAGGACAGCTCCAAAGGAAACAACCCTCATTATCTTCCATTTAAACCGTCACACATGGATTAAAAAATTTAGGACCATTATAAAGAATAAGAAACAATGTCACAGAATATTACTGCATAGTAACTATCATTTTAAGAGTTACACATTGGAATGGTATTCAGACTCAAGTAGTAGATCCACAGAGAGGGTATGAAACAACGAGATCACAGTCATGGACCCAAATAATTAAACCCCATTTCAGAACTAGTAAGCATGATTGTTGTTGAGAAAATGGGCGACTTTTGCTGCTTGACCAGCGCGGCCACTTGGTTATGAGAAGCATTGGGACTAGTTGGTCCCAGTTCTTTCTCAGTCACTCTCCACTCCCATGTGATCTTCATCAGACATTCCCAAAGAATGCTCTAATGTGGTATCTGCTGCATCAAGTCCCATGGTTGTATCCTCATCGTCTGGGAGATATCGCTTATTAATAGCTTCCTTGATTTGATTGTTAGCTCCTTTTGGATCAAGATCTATTGCCCAGGAGAAATTCATCTGTGCCAGATGATTCTGCCCCAGTTTCTTGTAAACCTGAAAAAATTTAGCGCACTGTAAGTAAACACAAGAAAGAGAATTCCATTAGGATTTCTAACACATACAGGGTGACAAAATGTACAATGTTTGGACATCTCCATCCCCCTTGCAAAAAACAATCTTTCTTACATTATAAAATATTCTAGTGACTAAAATACAAATTTCCATTGTTCAAGTTTGTAAGTATAAAAATTTTACAAAGATAAAAAAATATAAGTAAAAAGTTCCACTATCCATTTAGAAGGTTACCAATGAATGCTACAAGGGACACAAACCTTGCTTAATAAAAAGTAGACTAACGCTTCTTGTGGTACAATTTTTTTAAGTTCTTCAAGTTCATCCAGAGCCTCCTGATCCACAAAACAGAAAAATATAATCAAACATACTATAACCACTTAGTGAAAAAGGTTCACACACAAAATTGTACTCTCATAGTAATCCTCCCCTCTTAGGTGATGTCTCCTTTTGTTGGCAGTTAGCTCAAGACAGTTTTGCACAGCCTGCGAGCAAGAGAATGCTTTGCATGCAGCTCTCATGTGACGTCATGTGACTCCCCCAAACTGCAAACCACTCCAAATACAGAAATTAGGGGACCTCCTCATGCATTTCTGACATACCTTGTGACTTCTCGGGTTAATGACATAGAATTATCTACTTTTTTTTATTAGTAATCGTATGCTTTCATTGGCGTTTTTTTTTAGTTACATGGCTAACTTGTTTTACTATAGTATGTACCTTTGTTGTATTATGGTAACTTTTTTACAATAATAGTAGTAATAAAAAAAATCGAAAAATCAAAAATAACAAAGACTCTGCATGGAGGGATTGCTTGGAGGCTATGTTTTGCATTGTGCATCACACATATGCAAGACTGCTTCAACTATAGCACAATTTTTAATCATTTTAATTCAGCTGACATTATTGTGCACAACAAATAAAGAACCCTGCAGAACTAACCAAAAAAAAAAAAAAAAAAAATACTAATCCATGTACCTGATGTTTTTCCATTGAAAATAAGATTGAGGCACGATGAAACTTGCAGAGGGGATTTCTAGGATCAATTTTCATGGCTTTGTTGATTGTGACCAGAGCTGCTTCAGATTTCTTCATAGCATGTTGAACCTAAGGTTTTATCACAAGTAAAAGAAGTTTGTTAGTGATTATACATCAAAGATCACAGATACCGTACAATTCCAAAAATAATAAGCCCCCCAAAATTGTAATGCAAAAAACTTTCCGTTAAATCGCCCCTCCAAATATAAGCCCCCTGGGGGGGCTTTTATTTGGAATTTGCCCTTGAATACAAAGTAAAACAAAGAAAAAAAGGTAAATTTCCTTTCCACTACAAGCTTGCCCAACCGATTTTATAACGCAAATTTCCCTCCATCCATAAGCCCCTCTGAATAAAGCCTCCTCCAAAAATAAGCCCCTCAAAAGGGGCCTTTGAAAAATATAAGCCCCAGGGCTTATTTTCGGAATTTAACGGTATTTTTAAAGTGCTTTATCACAAGGAAATTGCTGGTTTAGGTCAATTCTGTGCTGAAGTTATTTCTTCTTTACCTGTACACAACATACTCCTGTAGAGTTATCAAAAAGACATCAAACAAATTTCATCACGGTGAGCACTAAACATAATAAATTAATAACGCGTTTGGTGAGTTTTGCAGTCATTGAATTAAAAAATTGAAAAGGTTTCCTGTTTAGACGTCTTGGCCTCACCCCACTTTCTGCCCCTGGGTGTTTGAGGATGAGCATTGACATGGCTCCCAAGTTCTAGCTACTTCTTGGTCAAGGGAAAACATATACCTTGTGCCACTTGAGATTGTTCTATTTTTTAATTAACTTACCACACCAACATGACAGTACAAAACAGAACTGGATGGGTTTATTGACAAAGCTTTCCTGTAATGGATTTCAGCCAAGTTAAATTTCTCTTGTTTGTAGTATATCATACCAATACCATACCTGCAAACAAAATTTATGTTGAGAGTTTTAGTGGGTGAAAACAGAATTAAGAGAAACCAGTAACAAAAAGGTCCAATGTACATCTGCTAAAATTTATTAATTTTAAAACTTGTGAAAATAAGCTACGAAAACTTACCATGCATTGTAATGACGAGGATCAGTCTTAACTGCCTGACGGAAACAAGACATGGCTCGATCCAGCTCTTCTGTGAGTACATACTCATGTCCAAGCAATGTGTAGGAATATGTGAACCCTTGATCAACTTGAACTGCACGCTGGAAAAATCTGATAGCTGTATCATGTTCCTTTTGCAAACTGAAGCAGTTTCCAGTAGCACACCACGCCTGAAAGGATCATTGGCAAAAAAGTTCCCCATTTATCAAAACTCATGCGAAGAGGGAAGTACAAAATTTTTTTTTCCTATCTGAGAAATGAAGTTTCCTTAAAATGTTCACACCAGGAAATTTTCCACACAGGCTCAAAAGACTGAACTACAAGATACAGTGTATTTGTCAATAATATGCTAACTTTGGGAATGTAAGGGTTTTAAATTATTTGAAGGTTGTAACTTGATGCTTGTGTTGAATTATTCTTCTGTAGTCATTGACGTTGATTTTCTCACCTGTGGCGATGTACGGTCAGCTTCTACTAAGTCCTGAGCCAGAGCTGAAAGAGTAACCTCACTCTGCAGATGCCAAAGAGTGGTTGAGTAGATTTCCATACCTACAAACAAAGAAAAACAGCAGAATGAAGTAATAATATTAAATTAATGTAGCCAGAGCTTGTAACAACTCACACAAACTATGGAAGGCTCTAAGTCAGAACCAAAAACACACATCGTCATGTAAGAAATAAATGTGCATATTCTTTAAAACAAAAATCTTAATATCTTTATTGCTATTTAAAAACTTGAAATACTTTTTATTGACTGATTTTACACTAACAGATTGAAGAGTGGTGTTTACTGGGGCATCTGTATATTACTCATTTTACCTTCAAGTCTGTAGGGTTCTAGTTGTCTGACTTTAGCAAAAATCTTCTCAGCCTACAAAGCAGATAACATATTCATATAAGCCAATATTATTCCTTAAAGTACACCAAGACTACTGATGACGTATAAGTTCACACATTAAGAAAAAGAACTCTAATAATCCCGAAAATTACATTACAACCATTCCCTGAACTCTTAAATAAAACAGATACAAACTCATTCATTTAGTAAGGATCTAATTTTTGGGGGACTTTCTCTCAATATAAGGACTCGCCGGCAAGTTATCAACATGAGGTTAAGTTCATACCTGGCGATATTCTGCCAGTTCAAAGTGGGCACGGCCCACTTGGGTTAACACCCATCCTGTGTTATAATGGTGTGTTGCTAATGATGAAAACGCAGACAATGCTTGCTTGCACTCGTAAGAACTCAGGTAAACATATCCTTGGCCTATTTGTTTCAGCAATGACATTAAACCATCTGTGAATAAAGTCGAGCAAAATAAAGCAATCAAACTCTCATGGGAGACGAAAAGTAATTTACCTTAGTGGGGGTTTGAGCTAATGAGTTCAAACTTACTAAGAGATTTACCACAAAGTTCCAAAAAATATGGCCCCACTGAAAGTAGCAACCCTTTGAAAGAAGCAATAAAATTTCACAGGTGTTTTGACAAGACCCAAAATTAGCGACCCCCTAAAACGACCCTCTGAAAGAAGCAACCTCAAAAGCAATTTCCCTTTTCGGCTAGAAATAATGGAAAAAGGTTTGAATTAGCATGGATTTTGAGCTGTCTGTGTTCCCTTACAGTGCTCTGAACTGAATGAAAATCACACTGCTTATTTAATTAAATCTGGTAGTTGTTTTCTGTTTTTCCAATTTAACAATGGTGTTTTTCTTCCTACCCATACTACTCTGAATGGGTGACAATTTCCCCTGTCCCTTCCCCTCAGAATTCTGCTGTGCAGAGGACTCTCCTTGAATCACATTTTCAACACATGGTGTTAAAGGCTGTGGAGTGGAGCTTCTTGTCTGACGATTAGTCTAGAAACAAACAATTCCAAGTTACAATAAATTTAGAATGGATACACATCTGACAAAGTCAAATTCAAATCAAATCAAATATCACGGTGTAAGCAGAAATTGATGGTTCAGATATGTTGGTGCTGCTCACAAAGGGTATTCATTAAGAATTCTAGTAGTGCGAGAAAGGTTTAATGTCACAGGAGAATATTTTGAAAGAGGCTCCACGTCTGAATAAAAAAAGTCATAGGCTACAGAACATTAGATGGAGAAATGGCAGATCTCAGATGCCTAATTAACAGGATGCATTTACTTCTGGGTTCCAGTGACAATTTGAAGATAGTACAGTCTTGGTAGTGAATAATAAACAACATTATCTTGTACTCCCAATATTTAATTTGTTACAAAGCCAGGTGATCCAGGATACCTTTTTCATAACATTGCTGACTAAAGTCCTAGGAGAGCCTGTTACTTTAGCACTTTTTGCTCTTCTTTCCTAAATTGGAGAATAAAGTAGTTTCAAATTAGTTCCTTTATTATTCCCTTCATAAATTATTAATCAGTTTTGTGAATGATGCCTAATTTGTAAAAGTGTTTGCTGGTAAATAAATGCTGTTGTTAAACTACAAGCAGCCTCTTAGTTTTTCTCGTATTTTATTCAAAGTTACTTGGGTAGCATGCCCAAGGGGCAAAGCTAAGCTGTGAGGTACAAGAAATGAGGGAATGAGCATGGTGGGGATGCTGGATATAAGCATTTTTCGTCGCTATGAACTCACTTTCAGTAAGAACTTGATGGATCTAACAGAAAAGACAGACTGCAAGCAGTCTATTCTGGTGTTTGCTTCATGAATATTAGCTGTTCAACGACGATAAACTACCCTAGAACCCTGTCAATGATTGTTCTACTCAATAAAAAAATATGGTACCTTATAGTTTGAATCAAAGTTTCCACCAGAGCCACTATTTGTTGACAGCGCAAATAGTCGGGTACTGCGTCGTACACCCGGTGCATTTGATGAGTACGTCTGATGGCCAGGACCTTGAGATGACTGGGTGTGAATACTATGGACACTTGATGTATTTGACGTCACAAGCTTACATGCTGAATCACTCCTTCGAGTACCAACCTAGATAAGAAAATAGGCAAAACTTCTTCATAAACCAGCAGCATTGCATCATCAAACCAAAATTTCCCTCAGTTGAAGACAAAGGAAGGAATAAATCTCATGTACAAACCTTTTTTACTGGTGCTTTTGGTGCAAGGCCATCAGCAGTGACAGGAGAAGGGGTAATGTACGTCTTCTGCTCAGTAGATGGTGAATCTGAGGCCAGCATTCCAAAACTGATAATCAAAAAACAAAGATTTGGTTTTATCAAATGAGCCATCCTAGGGGAATTAAGAAGTTGTCTTTTTGATCATCAGCCTTTCATCTCTGTACTAAACTTCCCCACTTATACAACACATAAGTGTCTTTAGAAACTAAACCCTTCATTTGTCTCCTTTATAATCACATGATCAAGACCCCTTGGGGGATGGGGAGGGGTTACATACGTACGTTCCTTATCTAAATTTTAAAAAACAGTTATAAACAAGTTTTGCATATTGAGGACTAGGCCATGTCCCGTCCCCTCTTGGTATTAGCCATCTCCCTGTAGCTTGTCCCCATTCCATCTTGTCTGTGTCGTGTTGCTGCTTCAAGGCCATGTTGCCTGTCGGAATTTTAACCTAACAGAGCCTCATAATCATACTAAGTAGACTAGCAAGGGCAGGTTATGAACAAAAGGGAAGCAACCTTCTCAGTGTTTTCAGTTCTCAGTAAATCCTACCTTGGTGTCAGTGGGCTAGATGGCTGTGATGCTCCTAACAGATTTCGTCCAACTCTCTGCCGTATCCTTTTCTCTCCTGTGATTAAAGATGAAGGTTGCATAGCAGAGTTGCCTCCGGACAATTCAATTGAACCTGATCTATTTGAAGCAAAGGTGGGCGCAATTAGCACATTCATGTTTTCTGGTGTGACATGCTGGGATGGGTCTAAATTCTCAGATGCAACTGAGTTGATATTACGCCGCTGGTTATCTGAGGGGGTTGATGTATCCATCGGAACAGTCGTAGACCCAACTGTCATGTTTTCTCTGTGTGTTATGGAAGATGTGATCTTTGGACAAGATGATGATTTAAAGTAATCTGCAGGATCGGGTCTCTGTCCTGTAAAACACAAACACATGGTACGACATTGACATAAACAACAATTTCCCATGATCTACACTCTAATGATGCCAAGATGTTCAAATCCCAGGTGAAATATGTGTGATCTCAAAGCAAAGTTTGAACAGTTCTATGTCACAAATTTCTTCCATAATAATATTATTAGGGTGTGGTCAAATATCATTGTCAACAACAATGAAATATTTAAAAGCTAAATTCTAGCGAAGGTTTTCAGTAAATTGCATGCATGCACAACACAAAGAAAAATATTATGCCTCCATTGTACCATTTCCATTTACTGAACTCTTATTCACAACAGCCCTTGACCAAAAAGTGTATGAGAATAGTTTAGTTACTGTAAAAAAGATTTAACATTTGGCAAGGAACTTCCCAGGGATAAGTAAAAGATTACACAGTTTAAGTTAATTAGTGCACAGTACAGTGTATACCTATTTCACAGAGACTCTGAAATGAACTCCACAAATATGGATTGTACTTTAAACTGCTTTTGAAACATTCTGCTGCTTTGGTGAACTGATCTCCTTTCCTAACGATTGGAGAAAATTGGAATATAAACCATCTAAAGTAATAAATTCTTATTACACTTCAAGTACTGTTACACAGAAATAGTCAACTGTTTTGACACAATACTTCAAATGTATTTCAATTTCAGAGCACTTAAATTCAAGTTTGTAAATCTATGCTCAAACTCTAAAGAGTTCTTGGACTGCTACCTGCCCCAAATCTCCTCTGGTTTTGCCTTACTAACACATTTAACAGTGGGATTTATGAAGCAGAATGACATCATTCAGGCAGGATCCTGGCAGCCCTACCTTAGAATCCCACTTGGGATCCTGCCACCCAAGATCCTGAATAGGAATTGCCAGGATCTCACCTTCAATAGCGTGATCTCAACTGTACCATCTTTGACTTGCTGATTATTCTATTTAAGATTCTGACTCCCACCTAGAACCCAAGGTCTGATACAGTAAAAAATCAAGGAGTTTATTTAGTTACGAGTTTTGACCAGCACTCAAAGGCAGAATAGATGCAAGTATCTGCATAAAACTCTGTTTAAAGTTGTGTCCACACATCACACTGAACTTTAAACAAACCTGCAGATTTGTCCCAAGAGAGCAAGTCCATAACCTGCAGCAGAACCCAACTCTGAAGCAATGGCTTCCAGAGGTTTACTGTTTAAAAGACAGCCACCAGTAAGAGCCATCTCAGCTTCTGCAAGTCTGTAAAATTAGAGAAAGTCAGCACAAAAGTGAACCAAAATGGTTCAATTTCACTTCATTAAAATACTGAATTTCTTTTGTACCTCTGAAAAATAATTTCACTTACTTATTTAAATCCATACAGCATTTTGCAAAGAGAAAACGACAGAGTGGTGTAGGACATCCTTTGCTTTGGAGAAGAGAATAGGCTCTTTTGCAGTACCCAGCTTGATAAAAACAAGTGGCTAGTAGGTACAGAGTATCATCAGATCCAACTAAAAAATTAAAAGGAAAAAAAATTAAGTATTCAATAACCTACAAAGGTTAACTCATTGACACTTGAACCTTTTGTAAAGCAGGCTACTAATCTGGCAATCATTCTGGGCAAAGTGGATCAAAGATGACAGAAATGTAGTTGACTCTCATACTGTACAACTGATGAAGTAGCAGCTGTATGTAGGATGTTTGTCAAATGAACCTAGTTTGGCACCCTTGGCTCACATGAGTCTCCAGTAGCTCAGTGGTAGAGCATCTGGACTAGACTAGTAACCAGGGCTGGTTTGTTCAAAGCTGGTTTAAGATAACCCTGGGTTAGTGCAAAATTTGAATTCAGACATGACAGCTTAAAAAGTAAATTCAGTTTAATCCTTCTTGTCAACAAGTTGATGATTCCATGCTCTTAAACATAAAAGAGAAAATTATCCGAGAAAATGCTTCTGAACTAAAGAAAAAGAAACCCGGGTTAAATTTAACCCTGGGTTAAGCACTAATGGGCCTTCGAACAACTGAGCCCAGAAGGTTGTAGGTTTTACACCTAAAGGGAGTACCTAGATTTTTTATACCCGAGTTGCCTTTCTCATTGACTGAATAACATGTCTATCAGTGTGCCAGTTGAATAAATATCATTGCAATTCATCAGTTAACATCCAACTTTATCAAATTGGGATTGGTATATGATTACTGCTAACCCAACTTTAATACTAGAGGATTTTGCCCACAGGAAAGAGAGGTTTAGAATACCTACCCTCTGCAAAAAGTCGTTCAGCAAGGAAAATGGCATCATCATAGGCGTAATGGCTAAGAGCATGCCATATGGTTGCCTAAGATTGATTGAAAAGAGATTCAGTATAACATTCATATTTTATGTCACCACATAACTCAGTGTTCTTACCAGGATTTGGCTTTACAGAATTGTAACAAGATAAGAAATGGCTTATCCATAGCCAAGGGATGTGGTCATAGGTGGAATCCAGGGCTGTCACTTATATTTCAAGTTGCTGGGTATATGTGATCCTGGCTTTTAGTGACAGCCCTGGGAATCAGAAGAAAATGGAAATGCTATAATTTTGATCCTGCAACTTTGATTTTTGATTTTCACTATCACCCTTTTGTGTCCAGCTATATCGCACCACCCTGCTTCTGTTGCCAGTGAAAACCATCTTCAATGCAATTATTGATAATGAATGGCCAGCTAAAAAATATAGCTGGCTGTGTTTTTCTTTTTTTAACATGCATCACTGATCAGTGATGGTATTTTACCACTGTGTTCTCTGTAACAAAGGGTAAGGTAGTAGGCAAGTCGTGAGGCAGTAATTCTACTAACTTCGTTAAACATATTTTCGTGCATAATAAACAGGGTTGCAATAAACAAAAAGAGGAATGACCAGCTCGAAGCCTAGGTCAGTTAAACATTTCGTGATAACTGGTAAGAATTCGTATAAAATTATAGTTTTTGCATATCATAAATAACGCTGATTCATTTACTAACAAGTCACACAAACTGCTTCGAAATTAGATGTCTTGATTTGTTTTTGTTTTTTTCAAATAATTAAGCTTAAGCTTAACTAAAAGTAACCAAATTGCATTACTTAGCTTAAAGCTTAAATAAACGACAAGTTGCTCGGACTGTCCATGCCAGTTACCAAAGAATGCGAAACAATACAAAACAACACGTGTACTTAGTATTGCTAAATCGAAAATATAATTTGACAAACTACTAAAAGGCTGTCAATTTTCGCTTTCCTACTGGGGTAGTTTGAAATTAAGCTTATGACCATTAAAAGTTTACGCGCCCAAACACTGTTACGTGCAACACAAACCAGTCAACCCATGAATACTGCTATGCACGAAATCGAAGGATGACTTACCCTTATCGGTTCCTCACATACCATGATCCATACAAAACAAGCTCGACCAGGAAAGAAAACAGAGTTTTTCTACAAACTTTTCATGTCTTCCCGAACCGTGAAACATTCCAACTTGAATTCGGCGCTGGGAAAACGAATGCTCCTGCGCATTCTCAAAAAAGAAACCTCAGAGCGAGACATTTTTTGCTTGCAGGCGTCCATGATAATTTTGGCACTTATGTCACGCACCAAACTTGTTGGGTCTTATTTATCTAAGAAAGTTTGCACTTCAGGTTGACTGTAATTGAGAAATTCTAGAAAAACTGTACATTTGTACCTTCGATTGTTCGATAGGTTGATTTGAGAGGTGTCATGTAACGCATTTGACAAGCGTTGTGTGACGAGTGAGGGTAAATCCCCATTTCGGCAAGTTTCGATTTTCCGGCACGCGTGAGACGTGATTTGTCCAAACATGTCCCTTGAGTGACAGGTTGGGGCTTTTTGCTGAACTAGCAACTGATCATTATCAAAGATTTCTCATCATGGCTCAAGCTCACGAGCTACCATTCGCCATTGCCAACATTTTAAGTCCAAACTTTCCCCACCCTTCTCGTCTCAGTCAAACACCAGTTTCGAGGGTTTTGTACGTGAAGCCTTTAACGAAAGAATCATGGCAACAGGTCACTCAGTCCAGCTGCCATCAGGAAAACAGATATAATGAAGCACACAGCTGCTTTGAACAAGGTTTCAGACATGCATGCACATTGTGCAAACACAACGTCTATGTGATCTCTGGCCATGACACAAGAAAACAACCGGAACACAGTTTGCCTGAAGAGCTACAAACAGGTTAAGTACCATTTTTGCTTAAAGGTCTTAAAGGAATTTAAGAAAACAGGTCAAAACCATTTTACCAACTACACTGTCGACTAGAAAGTTCGTAAAGCAATCATCGAACCCCGTAATTTTCTTCTAGATTATAATTCTTGAATCATTTATTCATCACGAAGTAAATTTTAGTGCCTTTGTAACTGTGTGCACGTGTTTTCAAGAGAGAGAAGTGAGGGAAAGGAAAAGTCCACGTTTCCAAATTTAACCTCAGTGAATAGTGTTGCGCGTGGACCGTTGTGCTCAAGAAATCCCCAGTCAAACAAATCATCTCACAGCGATTCTTGTAATGTTGAATGTTTTTTTCCACCTTTAGAAAACAAAGTCCACGGTAGTAAGAAACCAGAAGATTCTACACAGAAAAGCACAAGAGGGACAATTACAAACGAAGAGAAAGACGCAAGGAAAAAGAAAAGAATTCGATCTCGCTTTACTCAGAGGCAAATCAACTATTTAGAGGATGTATTCTCCCGTCAAATGTATCTAACACGTGACGAACGCGCTCTGTTATCAAAGATCCTATACATGACTGAGCTTCAGATAAGAAACTGGTTTCAGAATAGGAGATATCAGTTCAGGAATAAGACAATAAACAGGCCGTCATTTTTAAGACGTCAGTAAATACAGGAAACACTATCGTTGTGGTACTGTAGCACAGAGATAAAGGCATCTGTAAAGTTATGTTGGGTTTGTAAAATTTAGAAAGACTTATTCTATTCATCTCGTCCGTTGAGCCAGCTTGATCAGCGATGAAGAAGCTAACAGGACTTTCCATGAGTGTTTGTGTTTGATATCAGTTGTTGTTTTTCACTGCTAAGTTAGTACTTGCTTACTGGTTTTGTTATATGGCAAGACGTTCAAGCATGTTATGTACTACAGATAAATCTGTTTCGTTCACAGACACGACGGTACAATAAAACGTTTTAATTCCTAAATAAATCTAGTCGCTGGCAAAGACCATCGTGCTCAAACATTTAAATGCAGACAAAAAAAAAATAAAATGGTAGTTTTCTGTTTATTTCGTTTTAATGTTTGTTCTGTAACCCCCCCCCCAGCCCACCTCCCAAGAGCAAAAATTTCATTAAAATGATAAGCTGTTTGACATTCACCCCACCCCCCTAGCGCAAGAAACTGATTTTCATAGTCTCACCATTTCGTAGAACTCTTTTTAAAATGACTTTCATTGTTCACAAGTAAATCAGTGAAATGCACTGGCCCTAAACCGGGGATATTTCTTGGTGTTGCGTTGTTGCGTAGACTGTTGCGTGCGCTTACATTGCAAATGAATGACTAGTTCCAGTCCTACTCACTCCACCCTCCGTGCTGTTTTGTCTAAAACCATGAAGAGGCACATTGTTCGCTTGTTAGGTTCAAAACCTTTCCACCTTATTGGGAATAAACCCTCGTTGCAGTCTCGTAAGATAACTATTAGTAGTCGGTTAAACAAAGATGACTTCAACTTTCCAATCAGCCCGAACGACATGCCTCGCTCTGGAGGTATCGCCTCAATGATGCGCCTTCCAGTACCGAGCAGCGCAGAGGGTCTAGACGCCTGTTTTGTGGGAATTCCTCTGGATTCAGGAACCTCAAACCGATCTGGGACTCGGTAGGTTGTATTGGAAATGTTTGCCTTTTTGGCGCGTTGAATCTTGTACATTTGCGTGACTTGGGCGTCACGGATGGCCATGTTTTCCCTAAGAGACCTCGCTCGAGACCCTCGTAAAAATGAAGAACTGTGTTACCCCAAAATCAGAAAATGTGCGACACCATTCTGGTAACTCTGTTGAAAATGCATCCCTATAATAGTCAATCCAGTCGTAAAAATTCGACCTCATCCAGCGGCACATCCCCATTAGGTGTTATAAGGGAGTAATTACCCTCCCCCCCCCCACGTGTCAAAGACCCTGGCCATGGGGATGAGGCTGCTTCAAAGCTGTTTCAGAATAGACTTCTCCTTGAAAAGCTTCTACTTTGAAATAAACAAGGTGTTGGTAGGAACATATCACTGGTTAATGTCTTGTTTTGCAGCCTTGGCCCAAGACAAATAAGAGCAGAGTCTTGTATGCTTCGTCCATACAACAATGTCACTGGAGCTGCCCCATTTGAGAGTCTGATGATTGCTGACATTGGTGATATCCCCATCAACACATATAGCCTAGCTGCAACAGTTGATATTATATGCAAACATATTGCTGCTATTGCCAACCTTGGCTGCAAGCCTTTGATCCTGGGAGGTGATCACACCATCACTTATCCAATACTGCAGGGAATTAAGGTTAAAGTCCTCTTTGATATCCATTGTCTAATTTCTCTTGACAAAGTCATCATACGTCTCTGGGACCATCACCAAATGTCCCTCTTAGACAGCAGAGGAGGTCTTTGGTCACTTTCTTTTACTAGATATCCAGTTTAGAGGGCAGGTCATTTCACCTATGGATGAATGGGGGAGCGCGGGCAGCCATTTTGCTAGGGGGTCATTTTCAAAATATTGATTGGTATTGGGGGGTCATTTTCAAACAAGGGAGTACTACCCGGGGGTGTAATTTTAATAAATTTTGTGACAGAAGTACAAAGCAGTAAGGAGCATGAATTGAAATTGAATGTGACAGCTAAAAATGGTGAAGCAAACTTTCTCAAACTGGCCAGCCCACCCTCACAGGTTACAAATGACCAGCCCCTAGGGACGGAGTCCATTAAGAGAGTTGAATGTAATCTGTGTCACTGAATTCAGTGCCGTGGTTACAGAAAATTTTTTGAATCAGTGGCGGATCCAGGGGAGCGGCCTTATTTTTAGACTAAACTGAGGCCCGAAGGGCCAGAAAAAATTTGGGGAGGAGACCCGGTCCCCCCTTATCTAAGGGTCTGGATGACCGCCCCCCGCCCCTTATCTCAAGGTCTGGATCTGGCACTGTGAATAGTGACAGTCCAGTATTTGCTGAATGTGAGCCCTAGCCCAATTGCACAGGGAACCCACCCAACAGGGCATGAAAAGGCAGTCAATAGTCATGATAATATCTGGGTCACTTGCACCTGCCATCAACTAATGCTTCTTTTTGTTTAGTTCATATGTACACTTCCTTCAACACCCAGAACTTTGTTGACAAGGTACTTGGGGGATAGCCAAAAAATCTTGAGATCCTATGGCCTATGCAAAGTTTACTCTTTACATAAGAAGCTAACTTGAGGCTAAGAAATACTGTTTGGCAGAAACAAAATTGTTTTCATCTCTTTAACAAGGAAAAGCATGGTCCAGTTGGTCTTGTCCATGTAGATGCTCATTCAGACACTAGTGATTCAATGTTTGGTGAGAAAGTGACACATGGAACACCATTTCGCCGAGCAGTAGAGGAAGGTCTGCTGGACTGTAAACGTGTTGTACAGATTGGTTTGCGTGGATCAGGTTATACTGGAAAAGACTATCAATGGGCAGAAGACCAGGTACTCTATACATAAACTGATATTTCCAACAAATTAATGTAATCACTGGTGAATGATAAATGAAATCTTTATTATAATGTTAAAGATTGTTTGGTTTGCATAATATTAATGCAGCTGTAGCAGACATATCATCCTGATTATCAAACTCTTGCTGCTTATTTTATTGCATTTGTTGCATCAGGATTATTATTAACAATATTAGAACTTGCGCATGAATTACTACCTGTGAAGAAGTGGTTGATAATATTATTATGACAGTATTTCAGATCCAAGCCCCTTTAGCAAAGAGTTCAAGAGTCAGAGGTGGAAGAAATATGGTAAAATGAGTGTCATCATAAATGCTTCAGAGATTTCAAGAGCAAAAGATCAAATGTTTCAGGGACTCATGATTTTCATACCATTCACTAATTATCTTTATCTTGTCTAGGGTTTCAGGTTAGTTCTGGCGCATGAATGCTGGCACAAGTCCCTGGTGCCACTTATGGCAGAAGTGCGAGAGCAGATGGGCAGTGGACCAGTGTATATATCATTTGATATTGATGGCTTGGACCCAGCTTTTGCTCCAGGAACAGGTGATGGAGTTTTTTCTTTCCAAAATGAATACAACACACTCTGTTAACTCTTTCAAACCCCAGCCAATCATGTGTTCAAGTCTTGAGGCTGTAATTATATAAATGAAACCCGTCAGTGTGGTGTGACCATGCAAAACAACCCTGTTCAGCAGTTCATTTTTAGGGATTGACACTATTTCTTTCGAGTTTTGTACCAATTAAATTATGGGCTCTTTGAAACTTTGATTCTGGACACTTGGAGACCTAAATAAAGTACCAGCTCTGCTGGACTTTCTTTGAGTGCCATCCATCATGGAGTTAATGATGTAACTAGAAGACTGTACATGTGATATTAATTTCTGCAAAGATTCTGTTCAGGACTGTCTTTTCCTTTTTCGGCTCTTACCAGGTACCCCAGAGATAGGAGGCCTAACCTCTATACAAGGAATTGAAATATTAAGAGGTTGTCGTGGAATGAACGTTGTGGGTGGAGATATGGTTGAGGTAAAATATAATCAATATACAAAAATAATAAGCTATAATAAAATATAATCAATATACAAAAATAATAAGCTATAAGTCCGAAGTAGTGAAGCATGTCTACTATCCAGTTTAATTGTACACAATTTTCAGTGTATAGCTTAAGTTCTTTTCGTATTTGACAAATTTCCTCCTCAGAGTCTGTTTCCTATTCTTCTCTCGAAGAGACACTTTTGATGGGACAAGCACTTTTGCTTCCATCTGAGAGAGATGTCCATCATATAGGGTCACAAAATATGACTAAGAATACCACAAACTAACTCAACAAGGTTTCTCTTGTAGGGACGTGTCCATTGTGTTGTCCATTAAAGACTAGTGTTTATTATGAGGTATTGAATTGACTGTTCTTTCAAATGATTGATTCCAGGTCTCACCTCCATATGATACCACAGGAACTACAGCTCTGACCGCTGCAAACCTGTTGTTTGAAATGCTGTGTGTTTTACCTGGGGTGAAGTACAAGCCTTAAACAAGCTCTAGTGGCACTCATGCAATAGCATAATAATCTCATCTGCTATAAAAATATTGGTAATCACGAGGACACCAACTTGTAATGTAGATGTTTTCACCCAAGAGAGAGTTAGAGAAAGCCATCAAAACCAGACAACACTAGACTCATTGTGACCTTTCTTGAGTCTGTTGATGGCTTGTGATATTTTCTTTTTTCTATTTCTATTTTTATGACATGCAATTCGACATTAGGTCTTTAATTATCATACTTTGAGATAACAACACTTCACAATGTTACAACATACAATAAATTTATTGTTACTCTGTTGGGGACCTTAAGAAGTTACATTGCACATAACTAACAAAAAAAAATCTTTTGTCTCCTTTTACACACTTCTAGCTGTATTAATTATGAAGAGGTAAGCTGTTTTGATGGCTACCAAAATGATGAAGGGTAAACCAACCTACTTTTGAGCAGGTCATTTAAAAAGGCTTTAATGTCTATTGGAGAAAAAAACTTCTCCCTGTCCCATGGTCAAGTAAATGGAAATCTGACTATTTGAGTTCATAGTCCCTTGAAACCACACATGCCAGTGATGTAATATTGTGGAGTCTTAGATGTATGAATTCTCAGAAAAAAAAATTGAAATAAAAAGAAAACATTTTTTCTCATTTTCTGCTTCTTTTGCTATTCAGAGGATGATTCAGAAAAATATACATAAATCTCCCACGGAACAGGTTCAGAATAGTGTTACAGTTAAGACAGATCAAGCATATCCCCATAAATTCTATCACAGAATTCATTACTTGAAAATTGAATGCATTACTTGTTTGTGACACTCACCCTATTAAAAATGGATCAATTTTTACATAATCAGTTCTTTAATAGAATACTACGTATATGTTTGAACTGGCTTGACTGTAATCCTTCCTTCTGATAAAAAAAAAAAGGAAGCCTGCTCCGTAAGGAACTATGTATGATCTGGGAACGTATTTTTCTGAAATCGTACATTTTTCCCATACAATAAATAATATAAAACTCTCAAAACCTGATAAAATTCATTCCTGTACATAGTATACCTAGCTTAGTAATAACTACTTCTGTAAAAAGTAAAAACCTAAAAAATGAAAAATACTGCTAGGATTGATTCTTGTGTGATAAATTTGTAAACCTGTGTGTCGCAGTATTTCAGATATATTACCATTCTATATTATCACAAAGGGCCAAATCCTAAACCCAAATATTGTTGCAACTGCTTTTGCCCTAGAGATGAAGACAGGAATGGTCTGGCTGGTCAGTTCTGACAATTGGAAAGCGCCCTTACACCTTGAATAGTAGTCTTCAACACAACTGCATATTGTGTAATCTAAACTTTAGAATACCTGGTTTTCATGAGCAAGCCTAATGATTTATGCAAAGACAACAAAGCTACAGTTATGCTTATAAAGCCCGGTCCATTAATTGAAAAATATCTCCCTGTTTGTATATGAAAATGTCCTGGATTTGCAGAGAAGAATGCTGGTCCAATTGTTTTACATATTGCGTGCTACCCCTAGTGTTTTCCTAGGGTGGTACTCTGGATTTCAAGTGACAGGGATGATCGAATGGGTGCGAAATTCAAAACCCAAAAAACTCCCTACGGCTTCAAACAATACCCCAAAAAATCCCAGTCAAAAAATTTTCCAAAGGAACTATGCGGCCAGGACATACGGGAACTATCATGAATCTTCATATTGTTTTGCATGCCCTAAAAAATCCCTACTTAAATCAAGCTACCCAAAAAAATTCTTGCCAAAATTTCCTACCCAAAAAAATCCCAAAATCGAAGATTTCAAAGCCCCAAAATCCTTCAATCATCTCTGTCACTTGAAATCCAGGGTAGCCCCTTGGTAACGTTAAGACCAGATACAAGGCACTTAGTTTGTAGGCTGTCTGAAGCAGGCACTAAAAATATTACAACTCTGTCTTGTATACTGTTCCTCCAGAATGCTCAACTGTAGTTCGAGGCTCATATTCACTACACTCAAGACTCTGTAGAGAGGACCGTCTTGACAATGTGGCTATTGATGATTCCTCTGAGAAAATACTCTCATCGATTTTCCATAATCTTTGATCTGGTGGTAACTTGAGAGGAGAATTCTAAAGAGGAAAGCAAACTTGTGTTTCACTCTCACTTGTTATAATATTTCATAGCCACGGAAAACAGGCTGACAATTAAACATCACAGTGTCCAAGTACAAATTGAAAAAAAATTAAGAGACTGAGGTGAAATAAAATTTCAGTTTAGCAGAAGGCACCACAAGATTTTTGACAGAAAGAAAAATGCAGTTAATGTGAAACTTCAAGTATTATGCAATTTTTTTGGGACACAATTTCAGGGGTTAATGGTTAAAAAAGTTTTCGCAGTGGTGAAAAAATTCAATATAATCTTCCTATATAGAAAGTAATCATACTGCCCCTTCCAACAGAAGAGTTTGCCATTTGCAGCACCCACCAACCACCCCTCCCTGCTCCCTTAGAAAATCCAGTTTAGCTTTATACTTTCCGTTAAAAGTTCATGGCCTTTAAGGCACCATCTAGATCTCCTCCCAACCTTGGATTTCCAGTGATCCTACATTTGGTGGGTATAGTGAATCTTCTTACCCTTTCTGCTAACAGATAACAGCTGTTAACAACTCTTGCGACAATTTTTATGATATTCTTTGTCAAATGCATCACTCCCCACACCTAAAAAAGACAAATCAATGTGTTCACTCATGGCCACAAAAGTTATCTTGTTAATTGGCCCTAGCTAAATGCCTCATTTCATAAAGTCAAGGCTGGCTATAATTCTGTGGGTGAAATCTAGGAAAAGGAAGGAAAGAATATCTGGAAGAATGAGCTTTGAGTATTAGTGAAAGGTGTGGAACAACATGAGGTTACAATAAAAAATAAACCAAAGACATGGTGCACTAACCTTGCGACAACAAGCAGACTGTCCAACTGCCAATGATCTACTGGTAAACATGAGTTGCTGACAGTAAGCAGGGATTTTATCCAGACATCTTAAAAGTTCTTTTTTCATGGGATTTTCTTCTGCCTATCAACAGAGTGAAACCAAATTAAGGTAGTAGGTAAATAGCAAAAATGGCTCAATTTAAAAATAACAAAATTTATAATGGGCAAACTTATAATTCACAATTTGTAACTCTCCCACTTTCAGAGTTTGCTGAGTGACTAATAATTAATGGAGAAGGAACATCCATTAGTTTTCTAAATGAAAGAGACAGTGTAGGATGACTCAGTGAAAATAGGAGTAACATGGTGCTATTAATCATAACCATTACAGTTTCCTCAAACTTGATTGGTGCATTAACTGCTTTATTTTTCACTAATCATTCTGTAGGGTTGTACTCTCATTTTGTTAATCACTCGTATGATTACAGACCGAATTGGACTCCACTCAGTCCTATTACCAATATTAATACTGTTGATACTGATGGATATAATGAATGATATACGTTTTCCTTAGGTCAGTCTTGGAAGGAGAAGTCACTGAACTTTTACCTTTGAGGCATATTTTCTTGCTACTCTATAAAGTGCCCGACCTGCATCTGCAAAATTCTGCAACACAAGGAAAATAATAAAAACGATAAAAATCAGAGTAAAAAAACTTACCAAGTACATTTTATTAAATGAAGGCTAAAACAACAGGCTACTAAAACAAATTTTATTTTAGTGGCCTGTTGGTTTAGCATAGATAGAGTATAGCTTGTATTCTTGACTGTGGGTACAGGGTTTTCAAAAAGACTTCAAATACAAGGAACTTAGTATACATACGATGTGTAGAAAGGCTTTACATAACATAATATAATTTATTTTGGGCAAACAAATTTAAGGAAGCCTCCTTGCTATTTTTAAGGCCTTAAAGTTAATGTATTTTCAGAAATTAGTACGATGGAACCCTGTTAATGTGACCACCGTTAGGCCATAAAATCTTGGTTGTAATAATGAATTGGCTGTGTTGACAGGGTCTTCAAAGTAATAAAATGACTCAGTGATTTTTATGTTTGGGTCGAAAGAATAAAGTCATAATAACAAAGTGGTCATATAAACAGGGTGGTTGTAAGGCAGGGTTCCACCGTAGAAACAAAGTACCAACAGTTTTGCTTTCATTGTTAGTTACCTGAGAGGCTTCAAACAATTCCTCTGTGCTTTGAAGTAGACCCTCTCCCCTATTGAATTTTAAAGTAGAGAATAAGCCAAAAATTAATTTAATGTGTTTTTCTACTG